CTGCTGGAGGAACTTCATTACTATCTCTGTTCAATACACAAGGAAACCAAGGCTCCGAGAGGAAATCCAGAGAAAGAGAGCGCCTGGGGTGGAGACCTCACCCAGGGTTCCTCCTGATTTCCCTCCCCTCGGGTGACCTCTTCGCATCTGTCAATAACCAATTTATACAAAAACAAAATCAAATGTCAAACCGGGGTATTTCCCTAATGTCCACATACTGACACTAGTTCAGATCACACTGTGGCCTTAGGTGAAAGTGATGAGAAAAAGTGATGGCTGCCAATAGGAATGAAATTATTTGAAACGAAAAGCTTTAGTCTGATTGACTAACATAAGTTGCTGGGGCCAGGATGACCAGGCCAGATTTGAACATTCTGCTTCAAGTCATCTCTTCCCATTTCTTCCTACGGCTGTGAGCCTGTCGGGAGTGCTCGTGCCCACACCTGCAGCCCCCTTGGTTGGACTCACTTCCGCTCAAGGTCGGCCACTCTGCCCACTCCAAGGGCCTCGTGACCTACCACGACATCTACTGCAAAGAAAAAGATGTAACTCATAGTTTCATAACAATGTCATTGTTGTCAATGCACCAAAAACACAAAGATATAAGCAGTTAACATATAGCGATGGAGTTAGAAATTGCTAGGTAGTAAGTATTAGAATTGCTAAGAATTGTTGTCCAGAAATGAGAATAATTGAGGAAATAAAATTTAGAGAAGCGGGACCTAAACAACTTAAGAATTTAATGAATTGTACATTTAAGAAAGAAAGACACTTTGAGTTCTGGCGGTAGGAATGCATGTAGACCTTGACCGTTCTTTGACTAAAAAGAACTAAAGCTGTTGAATAAAAGAGGAAAATCTATTTAAATACCTCTACAGACCCACTAGGGAATTAAGGGGTAGTCAGAGCCCCAAAGTGAGAGCATCACTTCACATTGGTGCACGCAGCATGGGAACCAAGTTTTCTCTTGAAGGCGTTTGCTGAGCTCGATGCGTTTAAACTTTGGGTTTGGAAGCCTGTGGTTTGTAGGGTTAAGAGATGAGCACAGGGGATGTGTGAGAAGACAGCTCTGAAAATAAATCCAAACTCAGAAGAAGGCGGTGGCGCGTGAAGACAATGTAAGAGCAATGGTCTGTCTTTGACCTTGGCACGGAGTTGAAAAACAGACGGGAGAAGCGCCAGAAAGCCACACGCTTCCATAGCGCTGCGTCTTCATCAGTGGCCAACCAGCTCCTCAAACACCAGGCCCAGACAGTTTGCAGAATGTTCAAATACTCCAGAGTCAAATGCATCTTGCACAAACCGTTTCAGGGTAAGAGAGAGACTCCACAAATGTCTAAGTGTAAACTGATATGCGGACATTGGCCGTGAGAGCAGGAAGGGGGGGTGGCCCAGCCTGGCTCGTGAGCACCTATTTGTTGGCTTACATCACTGGGGGCATTCTGGGAGGACAGTCTTATTCAACCCATCCAATGAAAGTCTTGTAAACCACTCCCATGGCTCCAACTTTAAGTATTTTTTAAACTGAGGTGGCGTTGTTTCACAAGCCTGTGGAAGCCCAGATTCACAGCTTCCAGATGGAGGGTCTCACGCTGCGCCCAGAACCTCAGGGCTGATCCTGCTCCAGCCCGCCAGAGACCTGCTCCCACCCCTGCGCTGGTGACCGTTGCTTTGTGTCAGAATCCAAAATTCATTTTTGTTTTGCTTTGTTGGCCCATTTGCTCTGTTTATGTTCCGCATGAGAGAAATCACCTGGTATTTGTCTTTCTCCTACTGTATTTCACTAAGCACCCTCCCCTCCCGGTCCACCGATGTTGTCACCAATAGCAAGATTTCCTCTCTGCTCTAGCTGAGAAGTATTCAGTGTGTGTGTGTGTGTGTGTGTGTGTGTGTGTGTGTGCACTCTTCTGTATCTGGGCACTCAGGCTGTTCCCTAGCATGGCTGCAGTAAGCAGTGCTGCGGCGAGCAGAGGGGGCATATATCCCTGTGAATTAGTGTTTCACGTAATTTGGAAGAATACCTAGACGTGGGTTAATGAGTCAAAGAAATCAACGCTGCAGTGAATGCGCTTCTCAAGCTCACGTGACCCCAGGAGACCAGGGCTGGAGCAGGAAGCCTCCTCGGGTACTGAGCTTGGGGCCAGCGCTCCTGGGCGCCTTCTGGGCTCCCTCTGACAGGAACGGACAAAGTGCACAGCTCACTTGTTCTTAAAACACGAGTATGCAAACACCCTAGTGCTGTTTCTTCAGACGGCCCAGGAGCTTTTTATTTCATCCTGTTCTAAGACACTGGAGACTGCGTGGAAGCAGAAACAAGCTCCTTTTTACATCTTTTAGAATATGGCTAGAGGGCTGGTTCAGTTCACCCACAGAGGGACATGGGGTTGGCCTTCCTGTCCTAGAACGACTTTATCAGCAGAGTATGTCAAGCGCCAAGGAAAGAAAATAAATATGCCTGCAGCAGAGAAGAAAGACACTCAAAGACACAGCAACGAGAGCCATCTTCGGACACTGCACTCTCAGAGCAGCGAGGGTAATTGTTTTTCTGAGTCTTACCTTTAAGCAAATTTGCTTTCAAACTACTCACGTGGAGTCATCAGCCTCCCGGGTCTGGAAGTCATCCCCGTCTGGCCACAGAGAAAGAGCTTTTCGGGAACAATGACCCTCTTTGTAGAAAAGTGAAGAAGGCGGATCCTCCAGTGTCACTTCAGTCAATGGCCTTGAAGAGCTCAACGCCAGCAAGAAGCAGAGCGCGGAGAGGTGTGTGCTCTGCTGGGCGGTGCTGAGACCGCCCTGGTTCCGCTCCTGGCGTGGGGCTCAGCGTGGCTCTGCATGTGGCGTCTACCTGGGCACCAAGTGAGCTGGGCGAGCCAGCCTGCAGCCTGTTTCACGCTGTAGTCATGACGGCCCCGGAGCACGTCGGCTCAGGTACAGGCGCTGGACGTCGTCACGCGCCCACTTTCCGGCTGAGAAACCATCAGGATTTCCAAGGCCACACTCATAAGTGAAGGACCCGGCAAGGGCCACTCACTCGAGTGACACACGTTCCCTGCGCGCCCACGGAATCTGGGAAGACGCGGGCCTCTAAGGTGTCCCGGCACAGGAGGGGCAGCCGGACGGGCAGAGGGACGGAGATGCGAGCGTGGCCTCCGGCTCCCAGGGGCCAGGAGACTAGACACAGCACAAAAGCAAAACACGCAGCTGACTCGGGGGGGGGGGGCGGGAGGCGGCCTCTGACTCTTCCAGGCTGTAGGATGAAGGACAAGGCGAAGGTGGGCCCTGGAGCCCCCACCGAACCCCCAGAGCAGCGGCGGCGGCAGTGTCCTGAGAACAGTGATGAAGAGCAACGGGCTTGCCAAGCCCAGCTCGGCTGCTTGTGACAGCGGCTGGGGCGGTGACGCGGGTCCGAGGCCATCTCAAAGGTGACAACAGCGACAGTAGGAGGGTTCGGGTCCAGGGAAAAATATATTTAAAATATAAATTAAAAACCTTCTCCAGGGCAGAGATTCCGACCCCACACCAAGCATTTCTAAGTGGCCGGGCCCTTCTCTGTACCCTGAGGGCCAGGCAGGGCCAGGGCGCCCTGTGACCTTGAGGGGTGGCCATGGTGACCTTGAAGGGTGGACATGGCTCATAAAGGCTTGGCTGGAAAACAGACAAACCCGCCTCTGTTTTGAGGTGACTGGAAGGAAACTGACATTTCTTTCCTTACCGCCCTGCTCCTTTCTCCCTGGCCCGCCTCAGCCTCAGAGCCCTGGCGGTGTTTTCATTAACCCGCACCGGCTCTGGGAGTCGCTGACTTTACAACCATCCTGCAGGAGAAGCCCAGGGCTTGTCTTGTCACCTGACCCGCCTTACTGCACATCATTCCCTCCAGCGCCTCCATTTTCTGTAAAGGGTGACTCGCTTTCCACCCGGCTGAGCAGGTGCCGGCGCGTCCTGACCCAGCCTCTGCGGTCGCCCCGAGCCGCGCCCGCTGCTGTCGTGGGCGCCGCAGTGACCGGGCGGAGCAAATAGCTTTTGCGTCGATGGTGTGGTGCTCTGGGAGCGGGCCTCCGTGACAGTCGTACATTCTTTCCATTTTTAGATTTTTAAGGTACATCCAGGCCACTTTTCAAAATGGCTGCGCCAGTTTTCAGGGCTACCAGCAGCGATAGAAATTACCTTCACTTGGAAGTTTTACTGAGAACACGTGTGTCACATGCGGCTCTAAGAAAGTGCACGCAAGAGATTCTGCTGCCCTGCACCCCGCTGGCCCAGCTTGAACATATTGCAAACTATGGTACAGCCTCATCCAAGATGCTTCCCCGAGTAAAATGCACAGACTTACTCCTATTGCCCCAGTTTTGCTGGTCTCTCGATGAGTGTGTGTGTGTGTGTGTGTGTGTGTGTGTGTGTGGCTCTGCTCACCTTTAGCGCCTGTGCGGATCACAACACACAGAGCCCCTCAGCCCTCCAGGGCCCCCCACAGCCTTTTCAGAAGCCCACCTGCCACCCTCTTTCATTCCGGCTCCTGGGAACCTCTAATTTCCCCACCATTTCTAAAGATTTTGTCATTGCGAGGAAGTTATTTAAATGGAACCCCGCAGTATGCAACCCTTAGGGACTGAATTGTACTCACTCAGCACGATTACCTGGAGTTTATCCAAACGGCTGGACGCTCTCCAGCCTCTCCCACTTGTCTCTGAAGAGTGTCCCGGGATATCAGGCAACACATTGTTTCTAACCATTCATCTCCTGAAGGGCATTTGGGGTCCCCTAGCCCCCACCCAGTGTCTAGTCCCTGGTTTCCTCTGCAGTCCTTTGCGGGTTCCTGCTCCTTGGCTGCCCGTGTTCGAGCCCTCGCTCTGCCCCCTCCACCGCCCGCCCTGTGCTGGTGTCAGCCTGCTCGCCCTGCAGACGTGTGCCCAGCCTCTGTCTCCCCAGCTGCTGGCCTTCTTGCTCCTGACCCCTTGGCCACCCCCAAGCTTACACCTGAAAGCTCTTCATTCTCACCAGGAGGATGAAAGGTAAAGGGTTTGCGACGATCACTCCCTTAGACCTCGGAGAGCTTTTCTTTTACTTTCTCTGACTTGACCAAGCTGTGGCCGTGGCCGGGTCTGCCAAGACACGGACTTCCAGGAGGGTGAGACTGACACGGATGAAAAATGAGTTGTTGAGGATCAAAAATACCTTGAATAGAAAATTACTTTGTTTCCCAGTGTGGACCAAATAAGCTTAATGGTCTTTGAAAACACCAAATAAAGAGGGAAATAATTGCTTCATCTCATTGAGGGTAGTGATCTCTGAAATTGGATAAAATAAAACAGAATCAGCTGGTTTTACCATCGTCCTCCTGTTGAAATTAACAAAAGAATACTGACAAAAGACAAGCCATAACCTGTGAAAGTCAACCTTCATTTGAGACACAAGTTCTCTGTACTCTCACTGATTAATGTTAATATTATTTTAAATAAACTTGAATATATCTGTGAACTACCTACCCTATCCCATTGAATTATGGATCAATTATAGCACGACTAGGAAACCATAAGGATTTACGAATAATTGTACGAATAAATGAAAATGAAGGAGAAAATCTCTGGTAAACATTGCTTTAATGGCTGCAAATATATCTTACCACAAAGAATAAATTTCATTAGAGTGAACTGGGGACAAATAAATTATTTTTGATATTACAATTAAATCGTAAGTCTGTTTGAAAGCAAATCAATTTACTGTGACATTGATAAGGAAAAATTATACTACTTGAGACAGTATCTTTGAAAGTTTAATATCAGCAGCTAATACATTCAGCAAGCATTGAAAATAAAAATTGGAAGAAATAATACACAAATTCTTTATTTTTTTAAGATTTATTTATGCGTACAAGAGCTGGGGTGCAGGCCAGAGGTGTGTGGGGTGAGAGGATTCACCAGAGACAGAGCGGGGAGCAAAACAGGCAGACTGACTGAAATCCACTGCTGAGGGGAGCAGCGGGGAGACAGGAGAGGTCTGCCATGCCACGTGGGTAGCTCCCTGGCCAGGGATTGAACTCGTGCTGCAGTGGCTGAAGATAGCTTCATAGCGCTGAGACTTAACCCCCTGCACCACCAGGGAGGCCCAGGCAAATTCTTTAAAAAGCAAAATTACACCCAAATCTCTCTAGATTAACAAGAAAAATCGGTCAACTGCTCCTACAGGTTTAATATTTTGTTGACTAAGCTCAACTTTTCAGCAACGGCTCAGACTGTATCATGACCCTTTGCTTTAAAGCCTTGTCATCCACACAAGCTTAAAAGCAGTTTCTGGGGTGGAAGCATATCTTCTCTTTATTTTTACAGCCCAAACACATTCACCACAATAATATCTAGCACAATGCTTCAGGCATCGAATAGTTCACTCCTTGTAAAAACTGAAATTAGACTTTGCTTTGTGTTTTGTGAGTTTTATGCCCAGAAAGGCCTCCTGAGTTTAGCTTAAAATAAACCCTTAAAATTTTTAATGAGAACAAATTAGTCTTACAAATGCACATACAGATTGAACATAAAATCAACTGTCTTTGGAGACATCATTTCTACAGACACATAATTAATTATAGCCATGAAATATAATATAAATAATGCACATTCACATTTTTCACATTTTGAAATGAAAGTGCAGACATATTTGATTCATTCTACCTGACAACCCAGAACCGTCCAAATCAAATGGAGGCTTTTTTATTACGAGCAATCAAGTCTCTAATTAGGACTGGCATTTCACCCATCAGCTCCCTATCATTACTGCGGCAGCTCGTGCATTTGACAGCCTAAAAAAAGCTGGTTGGGGAAAATAACAGGATAAAAATGACTACTTTTATAAAAAGAACTTCTGGGGTAGAATTGTGATTAAGCCAAAAAGTTTTTTAAATTATATAAATTTCAAAAGACAAACATACGTGGTTAACTGCAAACAATGACAGTGTGTTTAGAGGAATTGTGCGCCTCCCCCAAGCCAAACACAGGGTCATGGCCAGGGGTCTGCTGTAATCGTCAGTTTACGGCGTAACCGCGACCTTTGCCTCATGTCCTTGGTCAGGCCTCTCTTGTTAACGCTGCCCTGCAACCCCACTCCCCACCAAAGGCTGAATCTCAGTATTTTTGACCCCCAAAATTCGGCACGCTCAACTGAAGTCACCCTGAATTCTTCCATCAAGAAGCAGAGTTACCTTCTCCCTCCACCACTACAGCAGGTCCTCAAACAGCATCATTTTGCTCCAGGCTGCGGGGTGTAGCATTGATGAGAAAACGTGAGGGCCGGTCCCGGGCACTGTCAGTGTGGAGGTGGCTTCACCCCGTGCCTGGAAGATTCTCCGGGACCTGGTTCCCCCAACGTGGGAGACACACGGGCCTGGGCTCAGCCGCCCAGTGGGAGTGAGTGCAGGTGTGTGTGGTGCATGCGTCTCCTCGGGGTGGAAGCCTTGTTTGCACCCTAATCTCCCCAAGAGGAAAAGCTCCATCGCCCCGGACACGGAGCAGGAGCAGTCAGGTTGGAAATGGAGCATGAATGAACACAGAGGACCATTTCCTATTAGCTGTGTTTGCGGTCTTCATTTAGAAGTCTGGTGACTTTTTTTTTTAAGATTTATTTATTTATGCATACAAGAGCTGGGGTACAGGCCAGAGGGGTGTGTGTGTGAGAGGATTCACCAGAGACAAAGCGGGGAGCAGAACAGGCAGACTGATGAAATCCACTGCTGAGGGAGCAGCAGGTGCGACAGGAGAGGTCTGCGTGCCATATGGGTCAGCTCCCTGGCCCAATTGCCCCGCAAGGCGCTCTCAGTCTCCCACAGGCCTCCCCAGGCGCCCAGACACCTGCGCAGAAACTCTCAGGGTGTCGTCAAAGCAGAGGCCGGCAACGGTGACCGGTGTCACCCGACCTAGCAGGAACAGCCAGCCTCCCCACCTCACCTCCACCCCAGCCCCTGGCCGGAGTCCTGTGCCGAGGCCCCAGATGGCTGCAGCCCTGTCTGCAGAGGAGCCCGGCTAACCCTCTGCCACTTCCTAGCGGCGGCCAAGCCCGGCTTGCTTCCCCGGCTGCCCATGAGTGAGCTGAACCCTGGTCAAAGCTGAACCCTGCTTTTCCTGAGGGAGACACTTCAAGGGCCCATCCTGAGCGCCCCTGAACCCTGTTCCAGCTCAACGGCCGCAGCCCTCGTGGCCGCAAACTTGTTCACTCGGATTTAATTAGCGCCGGAGAAACACTCGAAGCAGAGAGGAGCTGGCCTGCCCTGCAGGACAAGGCCCCACGGCGGGCACAGACCCCAGGACACTGTACGCGCCGGAGTAGAGGCCTCTAACCCCAGAGGTTCTGTCTGAGAGGGTCTGACTTTGAGGGGCAGACAAGTGGGGTCCCACGTCTTCTATCTACTCTTTTGACCTTCAAAAAATCACCTGAGAGGCTGCTCCCCAGCAGAGAGGACCCCACACCCCCGTTCTTGTTTTCCTTCCAAGCCAGAGTTCTCTAGCCCTCGCCCCTCCAAGCTGAATGAGGTGTTTGCTGCATCCCAGAGAGGAATCTGCACTTTGGAACATTCTCTTCACATGTCAGTGTTTGGAAATGCGAAGAGCACACATTTAGGAAAATCAAGTAGCTTGAAAGGAGACCAACCTTCCCGCAAGGTCAGCGCTGCGGCGCCACACGGCCGTTTGTGTGATGGGCGCGAGAGGGCGAGGAGCTTCACGGTCATTTTGGAACTCGCGGCCGGTCTTTCTCATCTGCCGGCGGGGAGCCCGGCTGCTCTTTCCAGATGTCCAGAGGTGTCTGCGTGCGGCGAGGGGGCATCTGTGGAGAAGGCATTGTAATGCGAGCAGAGAGCCGAGCCCGGCAGCGCGCCCAAGGGCTGCTACTCGGGCCAGGCCAGCTCCGATGTCTGCAACAGCGAGGGTAATGATGATGATCCCGGCGCTCGGTGATGGGGCTTTTAACCTTGCTGCCCAAATGCCCAAATTTCCTTTTGATGAGGCTGCAAGGGAGTAGTAGCCTGTTTCCTGTAGTCACAATGAAAGCCTTGGGCCAAATGCTGGAGTTGAGCTCTTGGGGGACTGGGGAGGAAGCCGGAATGTGCCCGTGTGCCCTTGTCAGCTTCAGTTCTTTAGATGCTTTCATTGCCTGGAGCACTTGTCCTTGGGCCACAGTAAGTCTGCTCCAGAGCCCCCAGGTGAGACGTGTGTGTCCCCAGCGCGCTGGATTCCCCCATGGTGCAGCACCACAGGGGTGCAGCGATGTCTTTCTGGAGTGCAACGTGTCAGGTTGGCATTGTCTTCAGCGTTTTTCAAATTACTGAGTTTGACAAGGTGAATCTCCCCCATTGCGGGGACAAACATGGGCTCCACTCTGGGTAGTCGGGAGTTGATGAATCAACCTAGAGGAAGGCAGGATCTTTATGCTAATGAAATTTGACACTAAGTTTCCAGACTGATTTCTGCAAATCTGGAGTCTGTCCACAGCAGTAAGACCTCCCGGCAGGTTGGCGGTTTGTTTCATCTGGGAAGTGGATCTCTCGTCTCATGTTCTGTCTCAACACTGAGAATCCCAGAAGCACTACTGTCGCCGGGTGCCCGTGACTGACTGCCCGTGAGTCATCCTGGGCCACACGCAAGTCGCTGAATCTCCCCAAGATCCAACTCGCCTTCTGCAAAATGGGGTGGCGGCATTTGTCACGGCTCACAAGGGCAGTGAGGGTCTCTGAACAAATCTCTATGAACTTAAATTTCTGTGGTCCTTAAAACGAGACATATTTGAGTAAATATCAAACTGCACAGCTTATGAGAAGTAGTCGCTTAGAAAAGTGTGAATGTGAAAGAAATAGGATTCTTCAGTCTTTTGTCTGGTTAGCCATAGGACCGGATGATGGGCTATTAGTACATGACACTTTTCTGGAGAGGTCAAGTGTTAAAAATGAATTTTTGTTCCTGACAAATGTGTTCCCATTACGCACATTTCACCCTTGATCTGCTTTTTAATGTGAACTTTTTTTTTTAGAAATGCTCCTATAAGTTGTTGTCAACACTGGGGACCCCCAGATATCTATCTACAAGCTTGAGCTGTCCATTGAACTTTAGACTTATAAAAAGACACACCACACACACCCCTCTGTGTTTATTCCTCTAGTGCTTTTGTTTCTCAGACCAACTGGCCCGTCTCAGGACAGAATTCTGAAACTCCAGCTGGGGAATTCCTTCTTCTTCGCCCTCTCTACCTACTCAGTCACTGTCCTCCAACCTGACCTCATCAATATCAGGGCTCTCCAGATTCTTTCTCT